ATCATCATCATCATCATCATCATCATCACCATCATCATCATCATCATCATCATCACCACCATCATCATCATCATCATCATCATCACCATCACCATCACCATCACCATCACCACCATCATCATCATCATCATCATCATCATCATCATCATCATCATCATCATTGTGTAGAAAAAACAGAGTAGGGAGGGAGAGTCACGAGTACGGTAATTTTTCTTTCCCCACCAGGCTGTTGTTTCGCTCGATTGAGCTGCTGATCTATGTGTGGATCTATGACAACTACCACCTGATAGATCTTCCATGGGACAGCGGAGTCACATGGTTCGTGGCGTTCGTCCTCTTTGACTTCTTCTACTACTGGTTCCACCGATTCAGCCACGGTAACTTTGGGACAATTTCTTGTGTTTTCTTTAGAGTTTGAATCTTGCGCTGGTAAAAAAAACCTGTATATGTGAATATGTTTGTGTTTTTTAGTCCCTTGGTTTGGCTGCTTGGTCTGTGTTTTCTTTAGATTATAAATTTTGTGCTGTTAGAAAAACATATGTGTCATGACGCGGTAGAATCAGGCGCTCATCAATTTTTGGGCATATGGGGTTATCAGTATCATCTTAAAGCTTGTTCATTTGTCTTTACTTTTGATGGAAAAATATCCGTCTTTGTTGAATAGAAGTCAAAATATTTACGATTGAAGGAGGTCAGAGTTGCCTGGTTTCAGAAGTAAAATTAGCGAGAAAATAGCAGCCATAGTTTAGTAGCTTCCATAGCCTGAGAGTCCTTGGAAACTGAAAATTAAAATTCTTGTGCCTTAAATAGATATTTTTCCGAAAAATCCGCACTACAATGTGTTTTTAAATAGACATAACAGGTGTTAAGCCAAAAAAAGAAAGTAAGAAAAAAAATTACTCATCGGCCAAAATAATGCTGATTTCTGTGAATTTCATTATTTTGGCGAGCGACTGGTTTCAACACAATGCCTGGCATAATGTATATGTGAATAGGTTGGTGTTGGTAGTCTAGTGGTTGGTTAAGCTGCTGGATCCCCCAACCATAAAATCATGGGTTTGAATTCTGGTCAAGGCCCAGAATTGTGTCGAAGGGACTAAAACTTTGATGTTTTTTTCTTTCTTCCCCTTGCTGGTCTTGTCAGTAGATTTGTATCAATTGAATGCTTGGAAATTGGCAGCCTGTGCTGAATGTTTATCAGGTAGTTGAGAAAAAATTTGTTGTTGTTTACTGAATTTGTCAGGGTAAGACTGAATTGTGAACAACATTGAGCCTACTGTTGAGAAGGGATTAACACTAAGCATTCTGTTTGTCTAACTAGTTTTATGATTATTATGATTATTATGATGATTATTATTATTATTATTATTATTATTGTTATTTGCACTTCCTTTTCTTTTGCTGTATTATATGTTTTACCGTGGTATCCTTTTATTCGACAACTGCATTTCTTTTGTCCTTGACCTGTAAAGTGAACTTATTTATAGATGTTTTATTTTCCCTACCTTGAAGCCTTAGAATTATTTGCATCTCTTTGACTTGAGCAAAGAAATTCCATTCTGATAAACTCTAAAAGTTCTCCACTATTTTGCTGTACATAAATGCTTTTGTTTTTTCCCTCTTCGTTTTTCATTGCTCCTCAAAAACCCCAACTGCTGCTTTTTCTTCCCTCATCCTTACTATCGTCATTTTTCCTCTACTTCTTTTGTATGTTTGTCACTCTCTTGTGAACTGCTATTTCCGGGGTGCTTTGATAGTCGAAGCAGACTTTGTGTGTTGTTGAGGCTAGAGAGGTGAGCAGAGTGAGCCTGATTCCCCTTGGGGATTTCTCTGTTGACTTTCACCCCTTGGCTCTCATCTGACCTTTTGCAGTTGCGAGCGCCGTAAAAAACTCTACTAAAACAAAAACAAAACCTCAGCTGTCACTGTAACACACACCCAACTTTGTCTTGTCCTGGTAGAGAGCAACATCATCTGGGCATCTCATCAAGTTCACCACAGCTCGGAGGATTACAACCTCACCACAGCCCTCCGACAGTCTCTCATGCAGAAGTATTACAGTATGGTAAGAGACTGTAATGGAATTTAAAACTCTACTGTGCGTCTCCAAGTCACATGGGTCAGCCCCTTTTGCGACGTCTTTCGGGTGTCCAGTGGAGGGCAGTCTGTACATTAGAGTCTGGTTCTCTTCTGAGAACATGTCCAATCTGTCTCCATCTTCTTTTTATTATGGTGGTCATGTCCTCTTGCCTACATTTTCGTAACAGATCTGCGTTGGAAATCTTGTCGGGCCTGAAGATCCTGAGAATTTGGCGTAAACTGGTTGTATGAAAGGAAGATAGCTTGGCACGGTCATGATCAGTCGTCCTCCAGCATTGAGCTCCATATAGGGGTGTGGATAATACACAGCTGTTATACAGCTTTAATATGAACGTTATGTGGAAAATCAAAGGTGGTTTGAGAAAGACTAGTTTAAATTCAATGAATCATTTGTCATGTTAGCAAGTATGATTTCTACATCTTTATACAGTAAGGTGAGTAATGAGGGTAAACAATTCAATTACTCACGCTGGCAGTATTTTCTGTCAGAAGTACCCTCCCTCTCTCTCTCTTTCTCTCTCTCCCCCCCTCTCTCTCTCTGTCTCTCTGTCTCTTCCTCCTTCTCTCTCTCTCTCTCTCTGTCTCTCTGTCTCTCTCTCTTTTTCTCTCTCTCTCTCCCCCCTCTCTCTCTGTCTCTCTCTCCC